TTTTTGATTGTTGTTATTGTATGGTAATAGAAGGAGTATTGTGTGTTATCCATAGTTTTAGAACCTAGTGATTGTTGGTTTAGAGTTAAGTCTGGAATTTCTGCTAAGGATGTTGCTTTCACAAGATGTTTATTTAGAATAGCACAAAGAAATTCTGTAGAGAAAGGAGGTAAACTAGATGTTAGAGTATGATAACATTTGTTAATGTGCTTTAAGGCAGAGTGAAGTTTAGATGCTTTTAAAGAAAGTGTGAAGTATTGTTTAGGTGCAGTATGTGTAGTTGGAATCAGTTGATTAGCAACTTTAGTAATGTTAGAAGACTAGATATTCTAACAGTTGTTTAGTGATTTGATGTCAGAGATTGTTTTGTTTTTTAATAATGGTATTAGTATTTGGTGAATTTTGCTAGAGAATTCTTCTCAGTTTTCCTTTTCTATTTTGTTATATAGATATATTTTCTATTTTCTCTTTTTGTTTCTTATTCTTGATAGTGTGAAGTTTGTATTCCAGGTTGTTGACATGATTATATGATCACTTTCAGTAATTCCTGTAGCTTTAGTAAGAGTTAGAGTTTTAATATCTAATAAAATATCAGGTGAGACCTATATGTCATCTATCGGAGAGTGAGAGTTATTTCAGTACTAGATAGGAGTTGAAATATTGTAGAAGTTGAGCAAACTAGTGAAGTTGTTTGTTGAGAGATCTGTGAATATTATGTTCTTCATCCTTTTTTTGGTAAAATTATTTGAATTGAAGTCGCCTAGTATAATAGTATGCCAGTTTTTATTTTTTGCTTCTATAGACCAAAGTGCTACTTGGTTTTAAGTTTAGTTTGATAGATCAGGGTTGTTTGATGGAAGGTATACTGAGATTATACGAGTTTTGTTGTTTAGAAAGAAGAAGTCTAAACAGAGAGCTGTCTCTGAGAAAGTGATGATATTGTGTATATATAGTTGTCCTATGTTATGTATTATCAGTACTATTCTGAGGCTTGAGTCTCGCTGTTGATTTGATACTGAAGTATAATTAGAGGTAAAGATTTTATAGATAGAGTTAGTTAGTGATAGTTGGGAGAATTCTTTTAGTTTTGTTTCAGTAATAGAGATAATATAAAGGTTATTTTGCAAGCAGTATGTGATCTATTGTTGGTATTTAATTTGGTTATTGAATCTTCTGATATTGTGAGTTGCGAAGTTGATTTTTTCTTTGATGTTTGGAATGTTATCTGTTATTGTATTTTGATGAGGTGTATTAGTTGTTTGGTGCATGTTTTGTTGGTGACTTGTTGGTGGTAAATTATTAGTAGGAATTGAGTATAAGTTGAGATATTGGTTGAAAAGTCGATTGTCGTGGAAATGCTACTTAGTTTAGTAGAAAGAAGATATTAAATCTTTCAAGAATGTTTGATAGCCTATTAGTAATAATTTTAGTAAATATTTTCCTAGTATGATCAATTAGTATGATAGGTCTTGTTGTGTTTAGTTCGTATATATATTGTGTTTTTTTTGGAATAGGCTATATATTTGAATTTAGCCATTGTTTAGGGAGTTGTTCGAGTAGAAGGCATATATTGAATATCTTGAGAAGATATGTAAGTGCTAATGGAAGAAGATGTTGAAGCATTTCGTTAGAGATCATTATAGGTCCAGTTGCTTTATATTTTGGTGCATCTCTTATTGTAGAGAGAAGTTTCTCTATGGTAATAATTTGAATTAGTGGATCATATGCACTGATATTAATTTTCTTTATAAGAGTATAATATCTCTCTCATTCTTCTCAGAGAGTATCATTTGTGGGATTTAATTTTGTCTAGTTTTAAAAGTAAGTGTGAGTTGCTTCTTTGATTTGTTGAGGTTCAGTGATCACTACATCATGAGTTATTATCTTTTCAAAGCTTATATAGTCTTGTTGTTATTTTAATATACTATTGATCATTCGGCTTATATTATCTTTGAAGTCTGTGTATCTGTGGTATATATAGTATTTAATTCATTCTAATTGTTCGAGATTTTTTTCTACATTCCTACTTTTTTAAATTATATTTTTAAGGTTTTTGATTGTTGTTATTGTATGGTAATAGAAGGAGTATTGTGTGTTATCCATAGTTTTAGAACCTAGTGATTGTTG